GACACAGCAGATAAGGTTGACAAACCTAACCTTCTAGCCAACTGACCCAATCAAATTCAACCAACACATACATAGCAGTTTCTTCCTAGCTACCTATCTGTGTCAGACATATAGATACATATGTTCAGTTGGACATCCCCCAATTTATAGGCAACTGACCAATGACAACATGCCACAGCAATGATTGACATAAGCCATATAACATATCTGTATATGCTATCAGAACTGAATATAAGCCACAAGACATCCCTGGAACAACTAATCATAAGGCACTGATCATATCTCAATTACTCCCACATGTCTCCTTTTGATTGGATCATTGCTTGATAAGCACACCTGCTGCCCACTAAGTGATATATGGATGTCTTGGCCTTAGCCATAGTCCATGAACCACACTGAGTCGAGCCCACAAGTCTGAACCTACATATAAATGCCTTTGGATGCACGGCATGCCAAGCCATGCACACTCGTGTGCACGCCCATACACGCATTGGTATATGCTGGTGTACGTGTTGGTGCCCACCTGTGTGCATGCCCTACTGAATGCTGGTGCGCGCGCTGGTGCCACTTGTATGTGCACACTGGTGCGTGCATTTGTACCCACCTGTGTGTGCGCTCTGTTACACGACTGCGCGCACTGGTGCACGCCGTTACACGCTGATATGCCGTTTGGTAATTTGGATGCTCCCTTCTTGTGTCACCACCTTGGAGTGGTGTAATCGGTGCCCATGCACGTTGGTTAAGCCTTCTAAGCAAGCCATACTATAGCCCAACTGATGTGCTCCAACTATTACCCCCTAGTATAAGTGTTAAGGATATCAGCACTCTAACAGTAGTAGATATCACCTATGTCTGAGGAGTCATAGTGCCATACTGATGTGCTCCAACTATTACCCCCTAGTATAAGTGTTAAGGATATCAGCACTCTAACAGTAGTAGATATCACCTATGTCTGAGGAGTCATAGAGTCATAGCCCAACTGATGTGCTCCAACTATTACCCCCTAGTATAAGTGTTAAGGATATCAGCACTCTAACAGTAGTAGATATCACCTATGTCTGAGGAGTCATAGTGCCATAATTACAAAAATACCATTGGGCATCCCCTCTGCATGCTGAGCATCCTTTTGTGCATGTTGAACATCCTTCTATGCACGTTAAGCATCCTTCGTGCACGTTGACAGCCCATGTGTACGTTGACAACCCACTCAGCGCATGCTGAGCATCTTCATGGCTATCAAGGGTGTCACTGATCCCTCTTTGACAAACCCATATGTTTCAAACCAGAGCCAAAGTATTCCCAAGACATGGTATGACCCTGAAATCAGAGCCAAAGTATTCCCAAGACGTGGTATGACCCTGAATGTTTATGTCTTCCTTTGGACAAATTTCAAGGGCTAACATTAGGCGACCGTTGCCAATAGTCCAGCAACGTTTCAGCAGTCTATTAGCTGCTGATTTTTACTATCTTTTTTACTTTCAGTTTTTCAAGCCGGTGTCTTTTAGTTTACTTTTTATTATTTTTTCGCTCTCTCCCCTTCTCTCTTTCTCTGTTTATGTCCAAGTCACCGGCGGCGAAGAATCTATCCGCCGACCCTCTTCTCACCAGCTTTGGCTTCCTCATCTTCCCCTTCACCTGGTCCACGTAGCACAGTGGAAGAAAATCCCCATATTTGCAGATCCAAATTCCTATTCTTCCCCTTTTTCCTATTTGCAGACCCAAAAACGCCGCCGTCATCGCCGGCCGTGGTTTGTTTCTGGGTTTTCGGATCATCCAAGCCCCAACAGTCGCTTGAGTCCTACACCTGTGTCGTGGCTTTATTACGCTGCTGAACCACTCCTTCCTCAACTATACCGGCCTCAACATCGTCGGGCGTGACCGGGTCTTTGACGGTCGATCAGAGCGGTGATTGATATCAGAGTTGTTTGCCCTCGATCAGTTAGAGAGAGAAAAGTAGATCGGCTCGATCTTCGCCGCCGGTGACTTGGACATAAAAGAGAGAGAGAAGAGGGAGAGAGAAAGAGAAAGAACCGACACAAACACAGAACAAATAATAAAAAAAGTAAATAAAAAAAAAAAACCTGGCTCAAAAAACTGAAAGTAAAAAAGTTAGTAAAAGTCTGCTCGACTATTGGCGACAGTCACCTTAGGCGACTGCCGCTAGCATCCCTCCTATAATTTTGGGTTATCTTGAAGGAATTAGATTGAAGGTTTCAGGTTGAAAAAGAAGATGACTCGGATTTTGATTCAGCGGATTCAACGGGATCATCGTCCAACCCAGACAGGTCCTCATCTTTGCTCTATTCGTCTTCAACTCCAACCCATGGTTACACACACACCTACCTATAAGCAAAGCATGGTGGTCTGTGATGGTATTTATTAAAGCACAAGATGGTGGTAAAGTGTTTTTCGTTTGTGTGCAATATATATACACACCCGCATACTGACATATAGATATACACGTGTTATAATAAATTTGCTGCTTCTGAATTTCTCTTAAAAGTGATTTGGTAAAAGGTTTTTTTTTTAAAATAAAAAAAAAATTTACTTTTTACTTCTTTATTTTGTTTATTGGTATTTTAGACATTGCACGTTAAATTGACATAATGTCTTTATTTGTACCATTTAAAAAAAAAAAATGATAAGTCTTTCAACCTTAATTATTGACTTTTCCTTTAAATATAAGGTCTCGGAAGAAGAGTCGGCAATTAAGGTCGGAAGATCTATCACTTCTCTTTAAAAAAACATGTAAATGAGTAATTGAACATTAAAAAGTATTTGCACATTTCATATATAGTCAGTTTTTTTTATTTTTTATTTTTTATTTATTTTTTTTTTTTGAGCATTAGTTGGTGGCACTCTATGAATAAAAACACATCATCATATTAAAAAATAATAAAAAATAAAACGAAACCATTTAATATGTCTTTCCTTTTAATACGTCTTTCCTTTAAGAGAACAATTATGGCCATTTTTAAATGCATCATAAATAAAATTGTAGAATATCAAATATCAAATTCCAAAGAAGAATTTTCTAATGGAACATTAATTTCATTGCCTTAAATTGGACGGATATGATTTCAAGTTGAAGATAGCATTCAACGGTCCTGATTCAATAAAGCCCTTCATGAAACATTATAAATAGAGGTGTTCAAACTATATGATTCAACAAAAAAATAAATAAATAAAAAAATTGGTTACACTTTGTAGTACTAGATATGAACTCTGGCCGGTTGGCAATTTATCAAAAAATAATTGGAGAGAATATTTTTTTCATTGATTTTCTGGTAAATTGCTAATTCGATTAGATTTCATTTTTATTTGAAGAACCGTCTCCAACGGTGGGTTATTCGCCGTGATTATGGGAGCCTCGTTAGCCTTGAATCCTATTCTAACAATTAATCACTGACTTTCTTTCCCTTGAATATATATATATATATATATATTATATTTGTGTGGTATGGAATTTTGTGATACCTTATTCTCTTATTTTTAACTTTTTTCTATTGAAATTCATTTCGGTGGATATACGTGGATTGGATTGCCTTCTTCAACTTAGGCAAAGTAATTTCCCTTTTTTATTACTTTTTTTACAACTTGATGTTATGAAATCAGTTTTGTTACGATATTATCGATTTGCATGTCTCATACCAGTCTAATTTAAGTCAAAAAAATTAATATCTGTTAAAAAAATATGTTTGGTATTGAGATTTTAGAAATGTATTTATGATTGCTTTAAAAAAAAAGACCATAATTGTTATATTAAAAGAAAAACCTATAAAATGATTTTCTTTATGAGAAAATTATAATTTTTCCCTTTCTTTTCTTCTTACGATGTGCTTTTATTTCAGATGATGCTAGAAATAAAAGAAAAAAGGCGATATACTTGATTGTTTTCACATAGATTTCTATTAATGCCTCAAAATTATCCAAGTTCTATGTATTTTATATTATTTTCGTATGTACTCTAGAGTCTAACCCTTTTTTCTTTCTGCTTTTGTTTTTGGACTGTTATAATGTCGATTTTGTTAACAAAAACATATTTGGTGCGGTCTTATTTTATTTTACACAGTGTTAAAATACTTCGCGAACAGTGACTCAAAACCAAAACATCAAAAAAATATTTTTTCTTATTTTGACAACTGTTCATGACTCAAAACCATAACTGTGTATGTTTTTGTTTTCGACATTTCCACATCAAAACATTGTTCCCAAACGTTTCTGATTTTTTTCCAAAACACTCTTACAGTAAAAACAATATTTCTGTTTTAACCAAAAATAAAACGCCTAAAATAAAGTACATACCAAACGGATGCTAAGGGCCCATTTGGGAAGTATTGTGTGGTGTAGTGTAATGCTCTAGTCGAGAACAAAGCAAGTGTTTTGTGATGTGGTGTTTTGAAATGAAAACAAAACATGTTTGGCGATGAAAATTTGCGGTAGAATTTTGGAACAGAAACATGGTAGAACATGTTTGGTAAGGTATTTCGTTTCAAGAAATAAGAGAACAAAACATGTTTGGCAAGTATTTGTGTTTTGTAGTGTTTTATTTATAACTTTATTAAATATAAAGTTATAAATTAATTATTGTATAATTTTAGTATACAATTGTGTAATGCTTTAAACAGATTAATTGTTACCAAACAAATTTAAAATTACTATTATATTTATAAAATTGAAAGATAATGTATCATAAAAAAATATACAGTACATGCATATTTTTTTATTTTTTATGCTGAATTTTTATTTTGAACTTACATTCTTAAAAATTCATATTTTGATTAATATTTTCATATATATTTTTTATTTTTTATGCTGAATCTTTATTTTAAACTTACATTCTTAAAAATTCGTATTTTGATTAATATTTCCATATTTTTTATTTTTATGCTGATTTTTTATTTTCAACTTACATTCTTAAAAATTCATATTTTGATTAATATTTTCATATTTTTTATTTTTTATGCTGAATTTTTTATGCTCAATTGAAGAAAGAGTAATTAGGAAAAATTCATATTAACACAAACAAAAACAAATCAAACATTTGTTCTAATAAATCTTCGTCACAGAACTCATCAAAATCTGCACTGCAAGCTCGTTTCAGACTCTGCCCTCTTGAGACCAATTTGTTAAAAGATGGAGGGGTGGAGAGCCGTGTCGATGTGCTAGTGCCAAAAAGAACAAATTTACATAGCCTTGGTATTTGGTCTTACAAAAGATGGCGAGGTAGCCAGAGATATGGGTATTGGAGATGAAAAAGATTGAGGGACCAAATGTTGTGACAATTGCTCAATTTTTAGCCTCATATTGTATGGATCAAAGGTAAACAAAACTGAGAAGGCAAAGATGAGATGCAAAATGTCTACCTAAAGAGATCTGATATAGAAGGAGGAATAGAAATAGTCAAATAAGATCAGAGAGCCAAAAGGTCCTTTTCAATTGGCTGTAAAAAGCTAAGTCTGAGCTCATCTATGAATCAATGGGATTCTTGAGAGAGAGAGAGAGTGTGTGTGAATAATTTCCAGCAAACAATAGTCCCTAAAAATGGATCCTTCTCTTCCATCTTCAAATCTGAAATTGTAGATCACCGGAGAAGAAGATTTGAGGTAGGTAGAAGTTGTAGACGGCAGCTGGCGTTTGTCATTGCCCTAAATCGACCGGAAAAATAGTCAACAGATTCTGAGAGTGGAGAGAGAGGCGATGAACACAGAGCTCTGCAGATTTGAGTTCCAGTCGTCGATTTGAGTTTGAATATGGCCAAATCTTCGAAATTTTAGAGACAGATTAAAGAACAAGTGTTAGACTTGAAACCAACTCAGATTGAGAGGAGCTCACCACGAACCAACTCAGATTGAGAGGAGCTCACCACGAACCAACTCAGATTGAGAGGAGCTCACCACGAATCGCCTCGCTGTAGTGGAGTCGCCGCGTGCTGTGAGTCAAGCTTCTAGCCCTAGAACAAGTACGAGTGTTCTGTTTATAGTTGCTCTGAAAAGGGAATCAAGTGGGTGCATTTGTTGTACCCGCTACAGTTAATCACTGCAAGAAAAATGACTTTTTACCACGGTAGAAAAGGCTTTCTAAAACCGTGGTAGAAATAGTTATGGTCTGGACCGTGGTAGAAAGAAAGACTTTCTATCACGGTTCGGAACTGTGGTAGAAAATGTTGTATAATTTTTTTTAAAAAAGAAGTGTAGCCCCTATGAGACCTTTTTTTTTTCGCTACTACTAGCTTTGCAAGGACTCCAGAAGTAAACCCTAAATAAATAAAAAATAACATCATAACTAAAATAACTTACAACTGACCAATAACATCATTTATATATATAACGAATTCCAAATCATGGTTTTATATAAAAATTAACCAAATTTCAAAGAAAAAACATGATCCACACCTTGCATCTTACTTAACCAAAAGAAAACAAAAATTCTTCATATCTTCATGCTCTGTAAAGTCTCTCTCTTCCATATATGCAACTTCTTCATGAGCCATACAAAAAATATAGCGGCAACAAAAAAAGTAACGGCAACCGTAATCCTAGCTTTGACCTACAAAGATGTAATAGTTGAAGTAAGAGAATGTAAAGTAAGTTGTAAAGTTGCTGAAATTAAACCAAGCAAAGCAAGTATTATAATAAAGGTACATTGAAAGCTACTAGGAATTGGCTTAGGTGCTCTCCTTATAAAACACCTTGGAGTTCCACTATCACCAACTGGCTAAGAGTAACTGACTGAAAAGTGTACATCAACATTCTTGGTTTCAGAATTTTCAATCTGATTTCAACTTATTAGTTATTAGTGATTTGAACTTAATTTTTTTAGCTGCCGCTGGCCCAAATTTTTTTTTTTTTTTTATTGATGCAGATAGAAATGATAGGAAGACTCAATTGGAAGCTTGCAGATTCATAATACGTACAGAATCAAGTGGTTGATCCATTTTTTTTTACTCAACTCTTACAATGTATTACTGTAGTAGGAGAAATGTTATTTCTTGAGCATTCCTTATTACTGCCAAAGAAATTCAAATGGTATATACTAATCAGGTGCTTTAAATGGATTCAAAGTAATCCCTTCTAATTTAACTGAACATATATAGTTGTGTTAAAATCTAGAAAGGGGAAATTACCTCAGTTTTCACATGCAGCTAGCTTTCATTTTCCGATGGAGACCTAAAGAAAAAAGGTTGGAAATGCCAACTTAATGATAATTGTACAAAATGGAATATGTAAACCAAACAGATAATTAAGAGACTTCTATATATCTTACTCATTGATAATTGTTGATGGCACAGAGCTCCTCGAAGATCCTGAGCCATCCAAGACTGGTCCAGCAGAGGTGGCTTTTATATATCTTACTTGTTGATAATCGTTGATACATATAGTAAAGGCATGTTTGGATGTCCCACTAAAATTTAATGTTCTTGTTGACATTTAACTGCATTTTTTTCTTCTTGTTTTTATCACTATAATTTTCTTCAGTAAAGTCATGTTTGGCAAGCACATGGTATATGCTATACATTTATGTACCAGAATCATAAATTCAGACAAAGGCAGGCCTCAAGCAGTAAGACTACATATGTTACAATATATTCAATGAATGAAAGAAAGAATTGCTGAGTCAAAAAACTTGCCAATGGACCATGTTATGAATGCACCAGGAAAACCTAGGCCACATAAAAGAAACATGCATAGGCAGTACAGCTAATTATACAATACAACATGACCTATGTAGTGAAAGAATTTGTTGATGGTCCCCATTATGAAAAGGCTATAATAAAAACATTTGTATTGGATTAAAGTTCGGAAATTACATTCAACTAAACAAACATATGCATAAAGAAATGTGATATTTGAACTTAGCAAGCAGAACCACAGGCAATTAGCAAGCACTTTGCTGCACCAGAGGAAGCATTTAAAATTCTTTTTGCTCAGGACTATGGATGGATATTAGAAAATCATAAAGTCATCATCGAGATAGTATTTGGATTAGCATATATATATATATATTTGATTAATTTGAATATAGACCCAAATAGGAAAGTATATACTGGAACTAGTTGGTGGTTTAATTGAGATATTTGATTCTAGATTATATGAATATACCAATTGAGAGTGATTAACGCCTCTTGTCGTCATCTTAATTAGGCCAAACATAACCTGTAGAAAAAGGAGAGAGGACTTAAGAGGCGGTTGAATGGATTTAAGACAAATCATAAGATAACACCAACCTTATCTCTTACAGAAATATATATATCTTATTTTTATTATTAAAAAAAAAGAGGCTATATATAGAAGCAAAGATCTGTTTCCTTTTTTTTTTTTTCTCAAGGCAAACAAAGCAACAAACATGAACCAATAACTACATCAAACAAGAGAAAACATCTGCAGCTACAAAATCCCGCAACTGGGCAGGCAGACCATAGAAGACCTGCGCTTCACCTACACACAACACCATACCCCCCATTTCCACCATTCTTCATCATCAATCTCATTAACAGTGTGGATTCCTGGTCTTCCATCTCCACATCAAACCAAAGCTAGCCTTATAATTTAAAATTATAAAAATTAAAAAGAAAAAGAAAAAGGTAGAGAAGTAAAGCCAAGCTCTTACCGGCCTTAATATTAATGCATGATTCATGCAAAAATCCTAAAGTTGCTTAGTAATTAATGTGCATGCACTCTTCAAAAATCATTCAACATTGAAAACATACTAATTAATGTGCATGCTTTCTTCATAAATCATTCAACATTATATTAAGATGCGCTTAAACTATTTCATATATGCATGAACACCTAATGACGGTAAAATATTCACTCACCAAATCTATACTAATATTCATGAAGCTTCTGCCTTATAATTCTTTATGTAGAATCTAAAAACCCACACACACACACACACACACACACACATATATATATATATTGAAATTCATATAGCCAGTAATATATGGACTTGTATAAACTTAATATAGGTCTAACTAAATGTGTCCTAATATCAAGTGACGGTTCCGTGCATGGTTTAGGCCGAATGCTTTGAAGGGAAGACTGAATGCAATTTTTTTCTCCGTATGTTTTTTAGACCTCAAACTTGGTTTCTCACACTTGACAGCCATTTTACCATTAAACGAAGCAATGATTGAAAAAAATACACATATAAGCCAGACCTAGCTACTTTTACGTGTAGATAATTTTGTGAAGAAAAGAGAGGAGACATACTTATCACTTACTGTGGTGGGAAATCTTTATCTGTTGTAGCTTCACCGAGAATACGTTCAAACTCCTGAATATTTTGCTTCATTTCACGTGATAGCTTGTCATGTGCTGCAAGCTTTGCAATACTAGGAAAGTAAGCCTGAGCCACATGTAGCAGGTCCTTCATCTTCTTCACTAAAGCGTGTTTCATTTTTTCCTTATGTTCACGACGTCATAAGCCGTAGCTCCCAAATTTCATCTCGCAATGAGAAAAACAGGGTCACAACATTATTTTAGATGAGAATTAACCAAAATCCACATCCTAGTTTCTGATACAAGTATTTTTAGCTTACAAATAATCATATAAAAAATATGAAAGCAAAAGGGCTAAAAGTACAAAGAAAAAAAGCCGACTGAAAATGGATGAGAAGACATCAATAAGGTGACAACTAACAAGTCTAATGCACCCACATCAGACAAAAATTACACTTCCGGCAGATGATAAAAGTTAACAGTTCCACTGCTTAGGCACATTTATTTCTTAACCAGAAATTTTACGGTCACTTGATTGTTCTAGGACAATGGATATATAATAACTATACACAGTCTAGATTTGCTGAAATGCTGCTGGATTTTATTCCAAAATCGAAACCAAAAAAAAAAAAATTGAAACTATAATTTCTATAGAAAGAATCAATATAGGCATTGCGAAAAAAAAAAAAAGGTTTACTCAGTACAAATTAAGTCATGGAATTTATAAGAAACCCTAATTGAATAAACTAAAGTCATGCCATACCTATTTGAGTATCAATTTGCTGAAGATAACAATTTACAGGGGACGAAAATACAAACCTAAAAATTTATCGATGCACACACGATAAATTGGGTCTTCGGTTTGATGCCAAAGTGTCCTTCGAATAGGTGGGAGGGGTTAGGACTTCGAATGAGAGAGGGAGCTAGGGTTAGGGCTTGGAGAAAGGGGCGAATCCTTGTTCAATCTCGACGCCCATCTGTGGTGGACTTTACAGGGGCACTGCGCACCCTAAAACTCAGGGAACTTTTCAATCAGCTGTGCCGCTATCTTCTTTCTAATGCTACGCTGACCATCGATTCAACCCTCCGCTGCTCCTCAATGGTGGAGATTTCGGAAATCAGTGGCTTCGGTAGAAGGGTTGGGCTTGGAGAGAAAGAGGCATGGGTCAGGCTTGGAAATTTGAGAGAAAGGGAATTTGCAGATCGGGTATAGATCGCGAGAGAAAGGGGCCGGCTTTGGAGATATATGCAGATATATCATATATATTTTTTTGAGTATATATGTTATGTGTGGTCTCTGTGAGAGTTATATTTTTGTTTATAATTTTTTTTTAATGAAACTAGAGGGAATAAAACGCGCCTAAGCAGGAATGAAAATAATTCACTTACTATTTTAAAATCGTGATAGAAAATACGTATAAAAATAAAAAAGTGCATGACTACAGTTATGATTTTTCATTAATCGTGATAGATAGAAAAGTTTTTTATCACAATTTTAAAATAATCGTGATAAAAAATATACTTTTTATTATAGTTATTTTAAAATCGTAATGGAAGACCCTTTTTATCACGGTTATTTTAAAACCCTGATAGTAAATACATGGTAAAAAATTAATTTTCTTGTAGTGAATGTTGGCCTTATGCAAACTCGGTACAAGCAAGAACACCAATTTGTTGTTCCAAGATTTGGCCCTTTTTTACATAATGTTCTACAACTGTTCGGACTAACACAGCCTGGCCCAAACGTATTATGTTTTGAAAATGGCCTACTGTTCACATCCTGAAGCATTACAGCACACTACAGCACACTTACCAAACAGGGCCTAAAGAGCCAAATATGTGACTATGTGTGGTTAATCTAGCAATATGACTTCTTCATTTTTGGAAATGACATTTGTAAATTTTTAGTTTTAATATATATTTATATATATATACACACACACCTTATGATTTGAAATTAATTTTATCCTCGGACTTGTGGCCAAATATCAATAATTGCGTTAGGTCGGGATTGCCGGCAGTTGAAGAGGAACACAAGTACACAACCTTCAAACTCCATACATCTATATATATATATATATATATATAGTAGACATAAATACATCTATATCCATATATATACTACATACTAGATATGTAAATTGAAGATGGATATCGAAAAATTTAAAAACACTTGGCGAAGTGAACCTTACGAGGGGGGTTGAGGGTGTAGAATGAGAGTATGTAGTGAGCCAGGAATTTATCTCAATGCGGACAACCTTTGACAATATCATTTAATAAAAAAAAAAAAAAAAAATTAACCGAAATAATAAATATAAAATTTAAAATATGGATCTCATTATAATTTCAATCACTGTCTAAAATTTGAGTTCATAGAATCGATCAAATCAGCTTAAGAATTCACATTTAATGGATTGCTAATAAAATGACATAATTTACTTAATATATATATTTAAATTAATATAAAGTATGCGTTTATTTATTTATTTATATAATAAGAGCTAGCAAATTTGCTAAAATGCATGAGGCTCTTACACGTTCAAATTTGCTAAAATAGTTTAAACACTAACTAACCTATCTAAATAGTTCTTACCTATTCATGAAATAATAAAAGACAATCAAAATATAAATTAATTAAACTAGGGGAAAAGTTTGAAAAACACTCTTGTGGTTTTCAATTTGTGCGAATTACATCATTTTAGTTAGATTTGTTTATATAAATCCATACTAGATACAAAAATGTGCAATTAAGCACCTCCGATGATAAAAAATTTCACTAAATAGGATTTAGTTTGCAAAACAAGAATTATAGACCTTGATTAGTTGATTTATAAAAAAAAAAAAAAAACCCATAGATAAACTGAAATATATGGGTTTTGAACTTCTGATTCTTGTAGATTTTGTAGTTTGCAGTTGCAGAGAGAGAGAGAGAGGGCAAGCTTGAGAGTTGAGAGACAGCGGCTGAAGCTTGCGAACGGTGAACCCGAACTGGAACAGTGGGCGATGGAAACTGAAAGATATGGGTTTTGATTTTTTGAACAATCTGAAATGATATGCCGATATGGGTTTTGATATAAGTTTTGAACTTTTGATTCTTGCAGACAGATAGATAAACTCAAATATATGGGTTTTGAACTTCTAATTATTGTAGACTTTGTAGTTTATAGTGCACAGAGAGAGAGAGGGCAAACGAGAATAGAGATGGAGTATTGATAGAGGGCTATTTTTAGTCTTTTCCCATTTTTTTTGTTATTTTATTATTATTTTTAAATCATAAATAGAGGGCTATTTTAGTCTTTTTGTAGCTCCGGTACCGATCAATAGAGGTCAACACCCAAAAGGTATTGATTTGCACCATTTTTAAAATATAGGGGAGGTGAACAAACAATGGGGGGTTATACGCACTATATCGATATCATAGGAGTGTAAAGCGCACGCGAGCCTTAAACTAATTCATATTAGTGTCCTTGTTCCAAAAGAGCCTCCTCTTTTTTCCTCCTACTTCTTTTATGTATGCTATGGTACTTTTCTAGTTGACGATATTCACCTAATTCTAGGAAAGAAGAACCACATAGTAAGTACGCTATTAGTTTTTAACAAAATGTTCACGATCATTAATTAAAATCATTTAATGAGTTAAGCATATAAAAAGGGATCTTGTGTTGATTGTCAATATAAAAAATGTGTCTTCTCGACTATTATTCGGATACAGATTCTCTCCTAAAGACATCTCTCTTCTGCTCTGTCCAAAACTAATTTGAGGGCTAATATTAAGACACGTCATTCATTAAGACACGTCATTTGTCATATCTCCCTCAACCTCTTTCTCTCTTTCCACAACCTCTTTCTCTTTCTAAATATTAGATACAAGACCAAATTTTGTGACATATAATTTTTGTAATTGGTAAATTTCGATGTCAAAACAAGTCGGATCGAGTTGTAATTCTTAAGTTACCATATCAAGATCGAGATCGGCTGCGGAATTAGAAGGTTGTTCAAGTTTGATAATCTTTGATCTACGAAAAAACGTATGAACAACACTTTAGGAAGTTGTTTCCCACTTAAGACACTATACCTACATGGTATATTCTTCAAAGTTACTAAAATAGAATTTTTTCAAGTTTTAATCCTTTATTCATAATTCTGTCAAGTGGGAACCGGTACCAAACTTGGGAACCAGTTTAGTTTGGTACCAGTTCAAGAACCATTACTTTGAAAAACACATTCTGCCCTTTGGGAACAAGTTCCACTTCCTGGCTACCAGTTCCACTTATTGATACAATTTGGGTAATTAGTTTCCTGTTCTGTCTAAGCTTCCTATTTGGTTTAGAATTCTGCCAAAAGTCCTATACACGAAAATTATCTTTTCCAATGCATATCTAGGTCTTTGAAAATTTTATATAAACCTTGATTTACATCTAGGTTGATATGGATTTTGCATTACATCTTCTGATTCTTAAAAGCCTATTTGAGAGATATATTGTAGAAAATCAAATCTGATTTTTCTATTTCTCTTTCTAGAACACACGCATAAACACAAGAGTGATTTCAAAGTGTTGTTTAAATTCTTATCGTGTTCAAAGGTTATTGAATCTTCCATCTACAATGATTAGAGAAAGCAGATTTATTTCTTCTACATCAAATCCAGATCTTGAAGAATAGAGGTAAAATGATCACACTTTAAATGGGTCAAAGCATTCAACGAGTGTTGTTTGATGATGAGCACTGAAAAGTGCGCATTTAAACCCCTTAAGCTCGAGTATTCTAGGACCTTTATCTATCTTACTTTTCTGTTTTAGACTAATTTCATGTTATTACCCTTTTTAGGCACTTATCTCCAAAATAAGCTAATCCAGCCAAATTAGAGCATAAAAGAAGCAATCTCAAGCTGAATGGAAGAATGGAGCAACGTGGTGAAAATCTGCAAACTTCGATCGATTAGGAATATTTTCGATCGATCTCACATTGATCGATCTAGCCATTTCAAGATAGATCCAAGCCTTTGTCCTTATCCAAAAGAATTCACCATCTTCGATCGATCTAACTTTCTTTAGATTAATTGAACCTCCTTGATCTTATCCCCACCTACCACTTTTGTCTTTATCCCAAAATATCCCTAAAATATCTCAGATTTGTATTTATTCTAAAAGGCGCCGCCAAGGATGGATTGATCTCGCCAACATTTGATCGATCTCACCAAAGTTCGATCGATCTCATCTGAACTCAATTGATCGAACCTTTTTAAGTCCGAATTAAAACAGAGTCCAGCTCATTAAAAGATGACTCATGGTGCAATCATTGTAAGGACCCTAGTGCACGAGTCCAGACCATTGGGTGTGACACTTGAGCCTCCTATATAAGGATTTTAAGCCATTTTTACACATATCTTGAACATTAATTAATCTATCTTAGAGAAGAGGCTAGAGCTTAGAGAGACATACACCATATTTGGGAGTTCTTCCATTCTTCTAGTGTTTCCAATCAAGGAGAAGAGCATTTCTACCATGGAGATAGCCCTTGAGGGTTGGAGGACTATATCAATGAGTGGCTAAACATCTTCTTGGGGCTAGAGTTAGCCCTAAGCATGCCTTCTAGACCTTAATACTTTGTATTTTGAGGGGATTTGTGTTGTAATGTTGTCTTGACACTTAATTTATATATGAATCTTGTTTATACAATGATTTGTGTGGTTTAATACTTCTTATTGATCATTTCATTCTATCCATATGTCTATGTATGCTAGAATAGATGTTCATGTGTTTATCTCTAGTTTTTGTGTTATTGATGTATGTCTATGTGTGTTGATGCTATAGATCTAGAGATTGTTGAGGCATAGTGCTTAAATAGAATACTCTTGTGATTTATTTGATGGCTCATGCTCATTTCTTGATGGATTGTGCTTCTCCCTTAGTTTAATTAGTTTAATTTTCATGTCTTTAGCTTAATTGTAGTGTAGTTGCTTTACTTTCTTAGATGGAAGGACAATCTATGCTCGTTGTTTGATGTTCCATACTTATGAATGCAAGTAGTATTATTCTCTAATTTGTTAGTGTGTTGATTGTGAGCTTAAATGAAGGATTAATGGCTTAGTTTAATATATTGTGCTATTCATTAGGTTATCTAGATAATGTATGCTTAATTAGTCAATCTATGCTTGTTGATTCAATCAATCACACATTTTTGTATTGCAACACATGTTTCCTCCTTATTTATTACACATTGAATATCTAGAATGGTGATATTTAGTAGTGACCTCTAGATCCCAAGACCTCTCTCTTTTGTTC